GGACCAGTCCCTGGAGAAGAACATCATGTTTGGTAGAGTAGAGGGTCAGCGAAAAAGAGGAAGACCCTCAGTGAGCTGGACTGACACAGTGGCTGCAACAATGGGCTCAAGCATAATGATTGTGAGGATGGTACAGGACCAGGCAGTGTTTGGTTCTGTTGTACATACGGTCACTTTGAGTCAGAACCGACTTGAAGCACCTAACAACAACAACTTATGATTGAATCATTCCCTTGCTACATGGAGAGTATTTTACACATGTTTTAGAATTTTAAAACAAAACACTCCTTAAATTCTCAGTAATCCCTCATTTGCAGGTAGCTGGCCTGAACAACTGCTTGATGGTGTCTGTGGTGATGTCTACCACCTTGCTGCTATTATTCTCTGTTCCTTGCTAATAGAGTTCTTTTCATCCCTGGACATCTGATATCTACGATGATGAGAATTGGCTAGAGAAATGGCTTAACCTTGTTTATTACATAGAATAACCAGTCCTTACCATGGCTGAAATCAAACGGAAGGAGGAAATAGCACAAACAACACCTAAAAAATAATTAGAGCAACGGACTGTATCTTGAACCACAATTTATGAAGTTTTTTTTTTTTTCCTTTTTCAGATGTTTCAAATGATATGACACCTTAAAGTATTCCAATTCCAGGAGCTGAGCAATCTTCTGGAAAGGAAGTCAAAAGCAATGGGCTTCGCTGTCCCCTCTCCACTGTGACACATGGCAGCACACACAGGAAGGAAAAGAATCAAGGCAGACATTATGTAAGCTGTTTTCCTCGAGGGAGTTTCTACAGTGGCTTGGTGCTGAGCGCTTCTAGAGGCTTTGGAAATGATCTCTAAGCACACGTCAGAGACCAAGGCTGTAGGTAGGCATGTATTGTTTTACTCCTTCCTACAATCCTGTTGTTGTTAGGTGCTGTCGAGTTGGTTCCGACTAATAGTGACCCTGTGTACAACAGAAAGAAACACTGGTCCTGCACCACCCTCACAGTGGTGGTTATGCTTCAGCCCATTGTTGCAGCCACTGTGTCAGTCCATCTCGTTGAGGGTCTTCTACTCTTTCGACAACCCTCTACTTTACCAAGCATGTTGTCCTTCTCCAGGACTGATCCCTCCTGTTAACGTCCAAAGTATGTGAGACAGAGTCTCGCCATCCTTGCTTCTAAGGAGCATTCTGGTTGTACTTCTTCCAAGACAGATTTGTTGGTTCTTTTGGCAGTCCATGGTATATTCAATATTCTCTGCCAACACCACAATTGAAAGGTGTGAATTCTTGTTTGGTCTTCCTTATTCATCGTCCAGCTTTCACAAGCATATGAGGCGATTGAGAACACCAAGGCTTGGGTCAGGAGCACCTTAGTCTTCAAGGTGACATCTTTGCTTTTTAACCCTTTAAAGAGGTCTTTTGCAGCAGATTTGATTTCTTGACTGCTGCTTCCATGGGTGTTAATTGTCAATCCAAGTAAAATGAAATCCTTGACAACTTCAATCCTAGAGAAATGGTTTTCGGTAGAACTGGCCTATAAACCCAAGAGCCTCCTCCTTCAGATAAATGGAATTTCTCAGGCTAACGGGCCCATTTCTTGAAAGGAGGTCCGTAATCTTCACCTACACCATCCTCTCTTCTCTGTCTCCCTGAGCTTCTGATTTTCTCTAACTCAGAATTCTTTCATTTCCCTGGCCCACAGCCAATCAATCACCACGTCCTTTATTCTACCTCTGAATATTCACTTCTATCTTCTCTGCCACCACTTTAATCCAGACTATCTTGATATTGCAGTAAGATTAGCATTCTTAAACTGTAATTTAGAGAATGTCAGTCCCCTACTTAACCCTTCAAGGATTTCCCATTGAACTCAGAACAAAACCTAAACTTCTGACAATAATCTCCATGACCTGCATCTTTCATCACCTTTTGCTCGTTATTTTCTAGCGACACTGGTTTTATTCAGCGGCTTGAAGGAAGCAAGCTCTTCACCTCCTGGGGGGGCCCTGAACATGTGCCTTCTTCCTCTTGGAATGCTCTTCTATCCCACTCTTGAGATCCTACCTCATTCAATAGTTGATGCCCTCTCAACTTTTAGCTTTCAAGGTTCCTTGATCCTTTATCTCAAGTAGGTTACATCTCAACCAGTGTTGGTTTTCATCTTAACATTTATCATGATTAGTAACTGCCTTCCTTGTTTACCTTTTTTATCTAACATACAATAATAGTACAAAAAATATTCAATAAATATCTGTTGAGTGAATGAAGGTTATTTCTTTAAAATTCTGGCGATTAAACCTAAGGTGGAGGAAGCTGGAAAAAGTGGAGGCACTTCTGAAATGCAGTTCTTCTGAAAACTCTTCAGACCTCATGGACTTCCAGATATCACATGTGTTTTCTTTAGGGCTCACCTAAAACTTTGGAGTTGTTCCACTTGCTTCAAGTATGATAATATCTTTGTCATGTAGTTTGGACTTGGGGGAGTGAAAGGTGCTGTATGAATAGGAATTGTAAAGGGAAACCAGAGACACGGCCAAGGAGTTAAAATAAACGTATTATTCTAAATCCCAAAGTTTTAATTTAATATAATTTTAGGAAGGTAATGGTTTATAGAGATTAAAGATTTATTTTTAATCCAGATCTCAAAATCAAGATGGCTATTAGAGATCCATGAAAAGAGGAAAGGAATTGCATGCAAAGGAATTAGATAGCTGGTGAACATCTCTACCACCCAGTAATGAATTCAGTAATTAACCAGCATCTGGGTAGGCTTTACCAATTCACTCTCCAAGTGAACATTACACTCATTTTAGTGTCTGCTTTATTGCCAATAGTTCAATCTATTGACGTAGTGTGCACAGTATTTAAATCTGAAATCTCTTAGTGTGGCACTTACTATTTGCACCTTCTTTGCAATTCTTTTGTTTACCAAAGTTCTAAGTGACAGTGGGCATCCCTCTCCCTTTTCTACAAATGGAAAAGCCAAGTTAGAGAGAGGCGAAATGATTTGTCCAACGGTACTTGGAACACACATTAATAGGAAAGTTACATTTCAGCCAGTGATATCTGTTGCTCAAGCATCCAAAGAGAGCTGAGAGTTTCAGGAGCTCCTGGTGAGGCTGTCCAACCCCACTGGCAGGAGTGGTGGGGGCTGGCACTCTCTGTTTCCTCACTATAGCGATCACGATCTAACATGACATACACTGAGCGCATTGGTGTTTGTATGTCTTTGCCAACTAGAGTGTCAGCTCCATAGGCATCTCTTCTTCACTCTTCTATCCCTAGAGCCTAAGGAGCCCTGGTGGCACAATGGTTAAGTGCTTGGCTGCTAACCAAAAGGTCCCCAGTTCGAGCCCACCGGCTGCTCCATAGGAGAAAAGGTCTGGTGATCTGCTCCAGTAAACATTACAGTCTGGAAACCCCATGGGGCAGTTCTACCCTGTCACATAGGCTGGGTTGCTATAAGTTGGAATTGATTCAACGGCACACAGCGACAACATCCCTAGAGCCTACACCTAGAGCACATGGTAGGGGCTCAGTACGTATCCGTTGAGTGGCAGGAAAGAAGGAAAGGAAGAAGAGTGGTTTCCCAGGACATAAAGATCAGTATTGCTGTAATGCACTACACTGCCATGTTGCACAACTAATCAGGGTAATATTGATTTTGATTATGGCTCGATTAAATTCCTAGAAGAACGTAAAGAGGCCCAAATTTTACACAAATCTAAGGAGATGATTATAGCTGGTTTCTTTCCCTGCTAATCATCCAATGACTCTAAAACAAATATGGAAACAATTTGCAAATATTGGTACAGGTTACAAGAGAAGGCTCTGTTATCCAAGTGGAAATGTCAGTGTAGCAATCAATGATTCTTGCTTGAAGAAGCCTCTTGGGCTGTCACCGAAACATGGCGGTGATATACAAGTGTTTTTATAAATAGCTATGTTTGAGGGAATCAGTCCTCAACTCTTACCTGCAGTGGAGGATAGTTGAGTTATGCTTGTATTTGAATAAGCATTTATGCCTGATATTCAGGAAGCTCACAATATGAAAAAAAGGAGGCGTATTTCAAGGTGTTAATTCGAGGATGTAGAAATGTCATGCTCTCTCATCCTTCCCTGATTATTCTCTTTCTGCTTTTAATCTCATCTTGGAAATGGGCAGTCTTACTTTGCCACATCACACACTGAACAAAAACATACCAACCAAAAATTTCTTGACAAAACCAAACGACCACATCTCCATTTCTCCATTTGCATGTTCTCTGGTCAAAGTGGGCAAAGACAACTTTTGGGAGTGAAAATCAACAAGAGGTCCACCAATAAGTCATCAACTATTTGGTGTGAGTATTTAAAGGAGAACATGACACCAGGACTTAACCTGTTAATATGGAGTCTGTGATTCCACATAAGGATCAAGAGATTTATTTTTCAGCAGTCAAAATATATGGATGTGTGTGTGTATAATACTTAGAACCTTGAATTATTTACTTAGCACATCTATTTAAAATATGACATGCTTCACGAGTACTCAGCATTGAAATAATCTACTTTAAACAGGTCCTCCTTTGTATAGAAGTCACGCGTTCACATCCACATAGAAAGTAGTGCTGAGAAGTACAGACGACACACACCACGTACAAAAATCGGGTGAGAAAAGCGTGCGCCTCCCCTCACAGGCATCAAGTCAGGGATGTCTGTGACTATCGATCCCTTAGGCACCGTTCATCTCTGCATTTATTTGTTTGCTGACCTGCCACTGTGCAGCGCCTGTTTACTGCGGGAGTTCGGAGATGAAAAGCTCTGGCACGTAGCAGATGTACCAATTAATAACCTGTCAGGTCTGATGGATAGATGAGGAAGAAAGTGTCCTCTCACATCTCCAGCCTGTTTTTCTTCCCCATTTCAGGAGACACACTCTGCTCCCCTGGAGGGGACCCAAACTGTCTCATTAGTGTCTCTCTTTCATGGCATTCTGACGCCGCCTTGGAGATAGTGACTCACCTGCTCTTCTCCAAGAATCCTGAAGTGATGCAGCTCTTTAATCAGGGAGTTGGGACAGCCAGCTGTTGGAAAGAAGAATTAATCACAAAAACATTGTTACCGTTCTGTGCGGTGATCTGTTCTTACATACAGTATGAATATCATTGACCAGTGTGGTTGGTGTGAGAGTACCGAAAACCATAGATTCATCAACCACAGTCAAAGTAAGTCCCCCAAAGAGCCGTGGTTCTGCCTGGCTCTAGTTGGGTTTGAAGAATGGGTTACATGTGACTCTGGCCAGGCCTTTCTCCCCCACTGAGTATGATCTGGCCTTTGTGGGGCCTTAGGACACACATCATTTCTGGTCCCTAGAAACACTCCGAGTGTGTTATTATTGCTGTTCTTGACCCTCGACTCATGGCGACCCCATGCCCAAGGGAATGAAAGGCTGCCATTCCCATGATGGGTCATGGATCAGACCATTGTGATCCATAGGGTTTTCGTTGGCTGATTTTTTGGAAGAAGATTGCAAGGCCTTTCTTCCTAGTCCATCTTAGTCTGGAGGCTCTGCTAAAACCTGTTCAGCATCATAGCAACACACAAGCCTCCAATGACAAGTGGTGGCTGTGCATGGGGTGCATTGGCCAGAAATCGTACCTGGGGCTCCCACATGGAAGGAGAGAATTCTATCACTGAACCACCACTGTTCCCTTCCCAGCATGTTACTTGTCTCTATTACAGAGCCAGGATTTTGTGGGTCAAAGTGAATGAGTGGGCACCTGCATTTCTTGCTAATTTATCAAGTACTATTTCCTTACCCTCAAGACTGGGGTCCTGGACACCAAGAGTTAGGAGTGGGGCAGCTGGATGTCCCATATCCACATGTTTCAGCTGGATTTTAGGACATTGCCTGGTTCTCCCAAGTGGATCTCTCAGTACCAGTGAAGATCCTGTATTTGAGTTTGCAAAGGGTCTCTTCTGAGAAGGACTTGGGGGAGGGCCATGGCAATCTTGGTGCCCACACTTTCTAGTTCCAGTCAATCAATAATGGCTATCCAACCCTTCAAAATTTCTTTCTTCAGTTGCAAAAAAAAAAAAAAAACAAACAAACAAACAAAAAAAAACTAAACTAATTAGGCCAGTGAAAATTGCTTTTCAATGAAATTATTCCCTAGCTCCTCAGTAAAAAATGCTGTCGTCAGTTATAACATTAACTCTAGAAAGAAACTTGATGTAAAATCCGCTTCTTTGATATCAGAACTCCAGATAACATGATCTGTTTAAGTTTTTATTAAAGAAATTGGAATTATTGCAAAATATACCTCCCACCCAAATTGACTCATTTCTCATATTACTCAGTATCATAATATAAGAATAACTAAAAGCACTGAGGGCATTTGTCTGGGGGAGGAAAGGCTTAGGGATGATAACAAATACAATTGTTATCTTGATACAAATACAACCGTTATCTTCACAGAGGTGAAGGGGTTATCCTTCAGAGGAGAGATTAGATTTGTATATTGCTCTAAAAGTTAGAATTACAACCAACCAGAAAGATTTATAGTAGGTAGACTTTGGTTCAATATAAAGACATTTCTAATTTAAGTATGGAACTCATTGCCTTATAAACTAGTAACTGGGGTTTTCACACAGAGGCTAGGTGGCTATTTATGCAGGATATTTTAGAGAGGAGTTGACCAGATGACTCCAATCCTGAAATTCCATGGTCACATAAAATGCTGGAACATATTTTTAGTCTTTCTTATTATGAGGCATTTCATACTCTGAGAAAGTGGTCCAAAAATGTTGACTAAGGCAGCACAAAAGATGAAAAATATGCACACGAGGTGATGTCACCATCTGACAATAGTCCAAGCAAATAAGTAAAATTCAGGAGGTGAATATTTTGGTAGAAAATGTAATACATCAATCGCCAAAGGCACATCTGATATCGTAGAGCAGGAAAGTCCAATCCTTGAAGTTTAAAGATATAATTGAGCTGAGTGTTTCTCAAACAGGAGTCCAGAGACAAAGAACTGCAATCTAAAGGTTCTTTTTGAGAACTGTTTAAATTTAATGTTACCATTCTGAGGATTATTTTAAAAATTAGTCCAAGTATATTCTGGATCATTTGGTTGGCCGTAATTTACCAAAAAACTGCTATGCAATTGAGCCTCGAGTTAGTTCTTGTGTCTTAGATCTCCTAGGGACCAAGTCGTCATACTTTAGTTTCCTGAAATGGACAAGAAAAGAACCTGGGCAGACAACATGCAAGGGACGCATTCCCAACAAGCGAGGGCCAAGTGGGTAAACGGAAGATTCGAGAGGAGAAGTGGGGAAGAAGTGAGGCATCACGCAGCTCATGGTCACAGGCATGCTGGGCTCAAAGGACCTGGCCCTGGTTCATGGTGACCCAGGCACAATGAAGAAAATGCTGCCTGGTCCTGTGCAATCCCCATGATCAGTTGCAGATCAGGCTATTGTGATCCATAGGGTTTCAGTGACTGACTCTCAGAAGTAGATCTCCAAGCCTTTCTTCCTAGTCTGTCTTAGTCTAGATGCTCCACTGAAACCTGTACAGCATCATAGCAACACACAAGCCTCCAATGACAGACAGGTGGTGGCAGCGTATGAGGTGCATTGGCTGGGAATCGAACCTGGGTTTCTGGCAGGAGGCCGAGAACTCTATCTACCACTGAACTACCGTTTCCCTCAAGCAGTGATTCATTTCCTGCAAAATAACAGCATCTACTGTATTAAATTCAGGTGGCTAATTTGACTACTTTTACTTTTGTACTTCTGCTTATGTTTAATTTATAAATTTTTATTTGGTCCTTCTGGCTGTAAGCCATAAGATGTTTATATCTAGATTTATACATATACATATTTAAGAAATATTAAAAAATAATTTTATTCAACTTTAGGGGCTCTAGAGAATTTTTTTTTTCTGTTTACAAGTAGTCCTTTATAACACTCAAATTTGAGAGGAGCTGATTTGATTTATTTTAATTCTGGGTGAAATAAGAAACAGAATTTAAAATTAGCTGATCTTCAGAATTTGTATTGTTGGATTGTCCTAAGATATAACTAAGAGGATTGATGTCAATGATAGTTCAGATATAAACATGTTTAACAAGAGACTAGACAATTACCCCAAACACCTGGTAGGTGCAGTAAAATATGATAAACAAGGATAGATATAGCATATAGTTGGTCAGGAGGAAGACCTGTAGGTCAAGGTATTTAAGAAGAACTGTGGAGGTGTATCTGTCAGCGTGCTCAACACATGAACATGGATGTGAGAAATGGAAAGAAACAAACTTAGTGTGAAGACGGAATTTAACAGTAACAAAACTAGAAATGTAAGACCTGCATACAGAATGCAATAGTGCAGTGAGAAAGGTGTACTTGTGGATAAAAATTTAAGTTTACAACACTCAGTGAAGTTGGTGTGGGTGGAAAGAAGGAAGAAAAAGGCCCTGACAAATAAAGATGCTATGAAAAGAGGGTGTTAAAGGCATTGGCGTACTCTTGTTTCTTCCCAGTTACTCACACAGGGTCTACACGTAGGTGACAATCCATCCACCCCATCATATTTTCATACTGTCCAGCATCATCGCCAACATGCTTCCTATGTCTCTTCTCGATGTCCTGTTATAATGTGGATGTGGATATCATGCCATCCTCCAGTGGGTTTCCCATCTCACGAGAGTAAAAATGTCCCCACCACCTGGCCCACAGTGTGATCCCTTAGCACCATCTCCTAGCTCATTGCAATTGGACCACACAGGGCTGCCTGCGGGCCCTGAGCACAGCAAGCAGGCTCCAATCTCAAGGCCTTTCCACTGGCTACTCCCTCCATCTGGAAAGCTATTGGCCCTGGTATCCACATATAGGGCTCCCCCACCTCCTTCAAGTCTTTGCTCACATGTTGCCTTTTCAGTGAGTCCTCTGGACCACCCTATTTAAAGTTGCAGCCTGGCTTCATCTCCCCACCCACCCCATAATCACGGCTGTATTTTTCTCCATAGCACTCATTATCTTTGAATGCAATGCACAGATCATTTATTTTATTTCCTGTCTTCCACTGCTAAAAGGCAACGTTCTCAAGTGCAAGGATTTCTGCCTGTTTTGCCACTGTTGTGTCACGTGTGCCTAGAACAGTGCCTGGCATATTTGAAGTGCTCAGTCATAGGTGCTCCATGAATGAGTTGTCTATCATGTGGTCACTTCCTGTCATGGACTGAATTGTGTTCCCCAAAAATTTCTGTCAACTTGGCTAGGTCATGATTTCCAGTAGTGTACAATTATGTACCATTTTGTAATCTGATGTGATTTCCTTATGTGTTGTAAATTCAATCACTATCCTCTAATAAGATGGATTAGCAGCAGTTATACCGATGAGGTATATAAGATTGGATAGTGTCTTAAGCCAATCTCTTTTGAGATATAAAAGAGAGAAGCGAGCAGAGACACGCAGGAACCTCACACCACCAAGAAACCAGTGCCAGGAGCAGAGCGCATCCTTTGGACCTGAGGTTCCTGCAAAGAGATGCTCCCAGACCAAGGGAAGACTGATGTATCACAAGGACCTTCCTCCAGAGCCGGCAGAGAGAGGGGGCTTTCTCCTGGAGCTGATGCCCTGAATTTGGACTTGTAGCCTACTGGACTGTGAGAGAATAAACTTCTCTTTGGTAAAACCACCCACTGGTGGTATTTCCGTTAGAGCAGCACTAGATGACTAAGGCACTTCCCTACCAAGCTCAGGATAGCACCAGCCATGAGAGTCTTCTCCTCTACTCTTCCCTTCTCTCATCCTCAGAGGACTCAGCCTATGCTTGTGTTTTGTCTGCTGGTTAGTGGTCTTCTTTTGACCTCTCACCTTTCTCCGCAGCCTGGACCCCAACAGAGGAAAATGTCAATGATATTTGAAATGCATTACTCCATTATACTTCTACTGTACCTGCTTTGCCTATATCTAGCCCGGAATAAACCCCACCATGTTTTCCCTACTTCTGCTCCAGTTCTGCCTATCTCATCTGGTGTATCAAAATGGGGCTAGTTGATCCTCTAATAGAAATTC